ACAGAACCAGCAGCACATGCTGGTTGGTTTGCTGTCCCCTCCTTCCCTGTCCCAATGGCCAGGACCGGTGCCATCCCCACTCTCACCCAGCTGCCGGCCTTCCCAGGAGGTGTCCTGCTGCCCCCCCACAACAGCGATGCGTAAGAAGAACGAGAAGACGTACCAGTTTACTCCTCTATACCAATAGAGCAGGAATCAGGACCCAGTGCTGCCCAAGACAGGAGGGAGGAAGGCAGACAGAGAGGGAAGGAGACATTAGAGAGGTTCTCAGAACAGACTGCGACTCTACGGAAGAAAACGGGGCTGCAACAACAGCCTGCTGTGAGGCCAACAAAGCACAGCGCCCTGTGGCCCTCCCCACCACGACACTTCCCTGTGGCAGAGCGCTGCCCACTGCCCCCGGGGCCAGCTGAGTCTCCTTTTTTTTGGTTCCCCTCCCTCGGCCAAAAGGGGAGCACAGCTTCTGGGGAGGCACAGGAGGCCTCTGTCCCATCAACTCTGCCACCGAGAGGCCGAAGTATGGAGAGGAGAAAGGAGGGGAAGGACAGAGACAAAAGGGTGAGGGAGGAGGAGAGAGAAGGTTCCCTCTGTGTCAGCCCCCCTTGCCCAGAGCTGCCTGCGGTCAGGTGCACAGTCCACAACCCCCCCAGGACCCTCAGTGCCTTGAACTTGATCCAAGAGCGCAGCAGGTCAGAGCCCCCAACGGGGCGGCCGTTACCTGGCAGGTAGACGTCTACCGGAGGGTCGGTCTCTGACTGCGTCAGGCTCCTGTGCTCGCTGCAGCTGCCGTCCTGCAGGACATCTTCAACCGAGGGTGGGCGGCTACCTAGAACCAGCCGAGAGCGCAGGCCCTCAGCCTCTGGAGCAGCTCTGCAGGGGCACGTGGCCAGGATGGGCTGAGATCTTCCAAACAAGGAAGCTCCCCGGGCCTCCCCAGAGGTCTCGGGAGAGCTGGTCAGACTGGCCCAGGTCACAGCGCCGAAGGGCAAACTCTGGTTTACGTGCAAACCCATGCCCCCAAGAAACACCCAGCATATCCCTCCCCCACCGTCCTCGTGCCCTCTGGATGCTGACTGAGCACCAGAGACCCATCCCAAAGACACAGGGCAAATCCTGGATACGGTCTCACCAGGACCACACTGGTGCACCCAGCCACCTACGCCCCCCGGCCCACCGTGTGGACAGCTCTACTTGTGTAGAGCTTACAGCAAGGAGAGATGCTTGCCAAATAAACCAGGGAGATCTGCTCATTTTGTTTCCCCACTTCCCAGGAGAGACCAGGGAAGTACCAGGGACCTGGTGAAACACAGAAGATCAGAGATGGGATTTCAGAGGCTGGATATTTCTGTACTCCTCTCTCCATTTCCCAGTTGTCCTCCATTCCCCAGCTGTTCTTATCCCACCGCAGCAGAGCTGGACACCAAGGTGAGGTCTGGCAGTTCCCAAGGCACAATGCACACTCACCCTGCTGCAGGGACGAGGCCTCCTCGATCTCTTCCCCTGCCACACTCTGTAAAGAGGAACCACACAGGTTACTTCTGCAGGCTGGAGGTCCTTGTTGTTCTTGTCTCCTGCTCTGGCGTTCTCCAGAGCTGCGCTTGGGGCCAGGACTTGTTTCTCAGAGGAACCAAGGGGCCACACATCAGTCCTGCGGCATCACGGGCCAGATCGGAGGGGGTTTACAGGCTTCTAAACCCTCCAGGTTCCATCCCTGCTGCAAACACTGCTGGGCTCCTCCAGGAAGCTGAGGGCAAGTTCAGCTCTGCCACAGCTGCCACCAAGTGGCTTCCCAACCCCTCAGCTCCCAAAGACACATTAGGAGCACACGGAGCAGTTATGTCCTCCCCTGCAGAGCCTCACAAGTAAAAAGGCAGCTGAGACTGTTGGCTCCGGGCTACTTGTGCTAAGAAGCTCATCTTTACCCCATCACTGAGGAAGCGATGGCCCTTCAAAAGGCACCTCCTATGTCCCAGAAGAAACTTTCCCCCCTAGAAGAGCTGTGGCTCAGAGCAGCTCCCCAGCAGAGCACAGACTTACTTCTGGAGAGCCGGTCTCTCTCAGGACCAGCTCACCCCCACTCAGGGCCGGCTGCGAGTCAGAGTCCTCGGAGAGCTTCTCTTCATCCTCCTCATGGATGGGGGATGAGGGAGACCGTAGTGTGCTGTGGCAAGAGAAAATCCATTTGGGAGGAGCTGCAGCGCTGCCAGCACCACGTGCTCTGGCAGCTTTGGTGCAGCGCACGGCCTAACAGTGATGGGACCCGTCCGATCCCCCTCCCCGGTGCGTGCAGCCACAAGCCCTCAGGGCCCGCAAGAGCAGCGGACCCCTCCGCCCCATACTGACCTATCTGGAGACTTGCTCCGCTTGCCCTTTTGGTGGCTGCTTTCCACCGCTGGTCGGCTCGCAGGCGGCATCCCGTCCACCACGCCAGAGTAGTTGATTTCGTCGTACAGGGGAGCTGACGGGATGGAGGGTGAGACAGAGCGAAGGCCATTCAGTGCTTCCAGCAAGGAAATGGGCTCGTAGCCTGGAGGGATGTTGTCAGAGCTCTGTGGGCGAGAAAGACAGAGGTAGGTTAAGAAATCCTCACCTGGATGGAAGCCCCCCTAGAAAGGAGAAGCCTCACAGCAGCCCAGCTCTGCACTCCCACACCACAGTCCCAGGCAGCCCATCCCCACAGCAACCTCTCCAGAGAGCCTCAGCCTCCTTCCCCTGCAACAGCTACACACTCCCCTTTGGGCTGTATGCTGATGATGCTCCAGGCAAGTTTCCAGAGCAATGTTTGAGAGATCGGTCATCTCAGAGAGCTGGAACAGTGGTGGGCACCCCACCCTGCTCTACTTTCAAGAGGTGGGCAAGGAAGGTGAGAAAGCAGGTTCCTAACTAAGCTGCTTTAAAATATGTTTGTATTTTTTCCTCCAAGAAGTTCCTCCAGTGGTTCAGAAACCCATTCAGCTCAATTAAGCACCCCACTTGTGCTTCCAGCCCTGGTACACATGCATTGTTCCACAGCACCACCAGGGTCACCGAGAGTCGAAAGAGAGGACCGCACCAGCTGAGAGCTGGACCTCGGAGCCTACACTGCCTCCACTCCCCCCACAGTCTTGGTTCTCTCAGCTGCTCATGCTGCCTCCCTGCAGTCACCTCTACTAAAAGGTCAGAACCACTGACCCTGTAAGGGAGAGAGGCAAAATCCCCATTGCCTCTGTACCTCTAAGCTGCCAGTCAAAGGGACTCTTGCAAAGCCATTAAACCAACACCAGTTTAACTCCAAAAATCCTCCTGATAATAAAGATCCCGTGGACTGGGAGACAAACAGCATTTATGCCGCAATCGGCAGCTCAGCCCAGACCACTGCAAACAAAGAGGCAAGACTGCCACCGTCCATGCTTAACCTAAATAGAGCTGCTTCAACCCTTTCTCCTCAGGGAGGTGGTTCTATGTTGTACCTACAAAGGCGTGTTGCTGCGGAGCCTGGACATGAACTCCTGTAACTTCTCTGAGCCTGATCTCCCAATGACGCAGCCGCTGGTGAGCCTGCCCAGCAACCCGTCCCAACACAGCCGTTAGTTTGGAGTGAGCTGATTGCTGAACTGACTCACTTGTCACAGGAGGAGTGAGATCTGACAGGGAGGAAAGAACAAGCAGCATCTGGGGTCAAACATTAACCCACATCCCTTAAGTATTGCTTTTGTGCAAGTTCGGAGCTTGCACTGAAGACCACAGCTGGTGATTGCAAGATAACCAAGTCAGCTGGACCAGAAAAGTGTTCACCGCTGCTGCCACCTGTAGGCGATGGGGCCAAAAGCCATCTCCATGAAAAACCATTTAGTTTCCAGCTCGGAGGTGCTGTTTTTGTGGACAGTAAGGTCAAGGAGAAAAACCCCTCCAGCTCGTGTTTCAGACATTCTCTCCTGCCTGTTGAGACCAAGGCTGGAGGGTTCAAAGGCTGCTCATTTCGGTTCGCTGCGGTGAAAGCTTAGCTCAGAGGCTGGAGAAGGATTTCTCAGCCAATGGCTACAACACTCAAAGAGGCACAAATAGACCCTTCCTGGCCTGGAAGCCTCCCTCGCCTTTCCCCTTCCTGGCTCCTCATCGCCCACAGCTGCCACTCATGCTGTTCTCATCATGGTGTTCCAGTTACACACTCTCACACAGCGTGGAGAATCCCCAACAAAACAAGCGCCATCCTTCCCATCTCTGTAAAAGCAGAGCAGCCCATTGCAGCCAGCATTCCTGAGTGCCAGACCTGGTCCATCTGTGCCTATTTGTCCACCTCTAGGTCCCAGCACCGGGGTGGAAACCACAACAAGATGTGCCGACACCAAACTGCTGAGGAGATGAGACAAGCGCAAGGAAGCTTTGGGGTGAGCCAAGGGGACAGCAGCTTGCCCACAGTCCTACAAAGCTACAAAAAACATTTTGGCCAGCAACTATAAAGCATCCAGGCTCGGGACCTGGGGACAGTCCCTGAGAGTGAGCATCAGACTCACTTCCATCTTGCTTATTCCTCCGCAGGCGAACCATCGAGGTCTGTGATCGCCCGTGCAGGGTGTGAGTGTCTCACCGCTAACGTGGGGGCAGGACGTGGGGTGTTGCAGCCCGTGCAGGGGCACCAGTCAAACCCAGCGTGTTCGCAAGCCCTCGCGTGTGTAACGCTTCCACGTGCTAGTGATGCCGCTGACAGAGAATTGCCGTAGAGTCAAATACAACCAAGTGCACTTACTGTTTCCCTTTTAGGTTTCCTGCCGGGCAGGGAGACAGTGCTCACTTTAAGGGGCTTAAAGGGACACTGTCAAAAGAAAACCAGATTTTAAAGAAGCTGTTTCTTGACATTAGTGGCACGGAGAAGCACACGCCATCTCCTCACCTCACTCCAGGTAACAGCACCTGCTTCCTCCACACACCACCCTCTGCTTCACAACAGCCCTGGGCGTTTCTCCCCTGCCCCATTTCTTAGCCCCGGCTGAAGGCAGCAGGGCTACAACGCTGCAGAGGACAGATGGATAAAACCAGGCTTTTTCTGTGACAGTATCTTTCTGTTCCCAGGAAAGCCTGGAAGATGATCTAGATGCAGATCTCCCTCTCCTCACTCTGATCTCATGTGTCTCTCAACAGCACTGCTCAGGCAACGAGCTGCTGCCCTCCCCACACCAGGAACATGCAACCAGGCCCTGAGGCCACCAGCACTGCACCTTCCATCCCAGGCTCCCTCAGCTGTGGGCTGAGACCTCGATCACTCAGGGAGCCTGGCACAAAGAGCCTTTCTGCTACCACGCCTGGAATCCCAATGCCAAGGATTTTTCATCAGAGCGTGCTGCTGCACAGACCCCAAGAAACCTTCTATGACTGAGGTTTCTGTGGATTTGTTTCTTCCAAAAGACAGGAGGGCACTTGGCTAAAATCAGTCACGTTACTAAACCAGTGGGGTTGACAACTGAGGCTGCACAGCTCAGGAAGACCTCACTCTGAGGCCTGAAAGCTCCTCCCGACGTCCCAGGGACAGCAGCCATCAGGCTGAACAACTTGCGCACGTGCAAGCTGCCTGCTCAGTCTGAGACCAGCGCCCAGGCTTTGTACGTGGGACTGTGAGGTACTTACAGAGTGCTCATCGTGGTCCACACTCTGTGCCAAGACAGGGCTGAACGACACCGGCGACAGAGCCCCTGGCTTCTTCCTCACGGCCCGGATCTGCAGCAGGGCCCGGAAGGCTAGGAGAGAACAGGGGGCAGGTGAGCACACTGCCGATGAGGGCCAGGCCGTGTCAGACACGTGCCAGAGCTGCTCAGCTTGCTGCAGACACACCGCTGGCAGCGGGGAGCTCCCCATGTGCTGGGGAGCCTGGCCATGGAGCGCACCAAAGCCAAGCACTGTGGTCAGGCTTCTAATCCATTGATCTAGACAGGGAAGAGACCTGTCGGATGAAAACGTCATGGCACACGCAGCGCTTGTGGGGAACAGGCACTGTCCGCCCCAGTACAGTCACGTACAGAGGGGCGTCAGGCCTAGAATGGTCTTACACAGTAGGAGAAACACACGTGTGGCCTTGGGCAGTGCACCACAAGCTACAGGATGGGAGAAGGCTCTTGCAAAACCACTCTGAGTTCATTCAGACCCCATAAGCCTCAGTCCTGGAGTCCAGCAGGTGCTGGAAGCATCCCGCCCACCGTCAGCCGCCCACCCGTCAGCACTCTCACGGCAGTGAGAGGCTCTGCAAGAGCCGAAAACCCAGCCAGAGGGTTACACCACAGCTTTGATCTCCACTCCTTGCCCACAGCCCCATTTTCTATCTGCAGATCTTGAACACTGTTAGTTCCTCTGTGCCAAGGGCGCATACAAATGAGCCAGACATCTGTTCCCATGCCGCTGTGTGCTCTTGCATAAGGAAAAGCCCAGGCATTTCCTCAGTTCTTGTGGCACCCAGCTGCTTGCAGGATCAGCCTAGAGCCAGAGGACAGAGGTGCACACCTCTCCTTGCTGCCTCTGCACTCGCCAGAAGCAGGTTCCCAGGAAGTCTGACACGGGGGCACTTTCCAAACAAACCCAACTGCCTCCCCTGCGGCATGCAGATGAGATAATGCTGTTCCTGTGTTTAAGTTGTGCTACTTATAGAAAAAAACGTCTGGCACTTCCTCTGATAAGATCTTGCTTTTGGTTACTGTATCTTTGCCAAGTTTGAACTGTTGAGACTTAATTTCTCAGGCCAAATGTCTGTCTTAGGCTCTCTTTTCTTTTCCTGAGAAGTATCAATTAGAAACAATCAAATACCTCAGAGACCAAGCACAGGGTAAAACTCATGATCTGTCTATTCCAGCAAAACCACAGGCATTTTCTTGAGAGACTCTTACGCCTCTGTGTTTTTTACAAACGACATGGAATTCAGCAAACATTGCCGGAGTGTCAGAACAGTATTTCATTTTTTACATCTTTTGGGAGCTGAGCAAGGCAGGGGTTAAGCAGATCCTCCCAATTCTCCTGAAGTATACAAAATACACTGCTGTACTGACTTAACAGGGGAGGGAGAAAGATGCCCTTGGCTCCTGGGCCCATACTCACGCAGCCTGCAGATGGGGCAGTTGTTGGCCTGGTAGCGCAGGGTGTCAGCGCAGGAATTGCACAGGCAGAGGTGCCGGCAGGGCAGAATGAGGGTGTCACGGAGGTCAGACAGGCAAACCACGCACTCGTTGCTGTTGTCGCTGTTCTCGTCGTCTGAAGGCTGCAAGGAGAGGCGAGCTGTTGGCGTCTGAGTGGTAAAGGCCACGCAGAACCGCCCAGTCTGTGAGAGAGCTGGCATCCTCCTTCTGCAGCTCTCAGCAGGGGTTTCTCACGGAGAACCAGCTCGGACCCACACAGTTCTGCTGGGGGCGTAGGGAGGGCAGGCTTTTGCTTTCCCATTCAAACAGTTTACTAATTATACCAGGAAGAACAGAAATGGCCCCAGGCCACTTGTCTGATGGGCCACAAATGTGTGATTTCCAGATCAACAGAACCATCATAAAGCCCCGGAGGACCCAGAAAGAAGCCTTCGGTCCTCTTAAACAGATCCTGTGCAAGAAAAATCTTTGAAAAGACTTCTCCCTCTTGCCTCTTCAGGTACCTGCTGGTATAGGCAGATAGAGATGACAGGATGCTTTGGGCAGGACATGGCATTGCTTGGAGAGGAAATCCTGCTTGTCCTGCTCTGTGACTACTCCTCTGTTTGCAAATCACACACTACACACACCAGCGCTGTCTGAGGCCAGCACTTGGTAAAGCAGCCCAGGTGGCAGCAAAGGGCAGCACTACCTAAGGCTAAAGCAAGCATAAAGCAGTCACATAACCTGCACGGGGCTGTGCAGCAAGGCAGGATCCAGCAGAAGCTCCTGGCTGAAGATGGGCAATGCTTCTGGTTACAGCTTTACCCACCCAAACAGAAGAACACAAAAGAGCCGCAGGAGCAAAGCACAGATACCAGGCACAACTGCCTTGACTGCAGAGAGGCAGCAACATAGGCCCATGGCTGCCTCTACAAGCCCTAAAAATCAGCCCTCTGAAAGACCCATGGGGCATGGATGTCCTTCTCTCCCACCAATCCAAGCCCCAGGGAACATCCTCAAGAGTGTCACACCATCTAAGATTATCTCAGCACAAGTGCAGTGACTGTTCAGGCCTTACAACCGTGAGCATATGTCATCCTTGGGCTTCTTTAGTGCCTGCAGGAACGACACAGACTTCCCAGTCGTTCTGGAAGCACCTCCACGTTGCCCTGCCAAGCCCCACAGTTAAGCTCAGAAGTGGAAGGTGCAGGCTGGAAACCCACAGCTCAGGAGCCTCCTGAGCACCTTTACCTTGGTCTCTTGGTTGTTTTTGTTCTCGATGCCATAGATCTCCTGAAGCAGATAGCTCACCCGGTCAACCTAGGAAAGAAAACAACAGTTGGTCACCTCCCCTCCCTGTGTCACTCCCACAACAGCCAGCTCCCGTATAGCTACAAGAAAATATTAATAGAATATTGCAAGGGACAGCTGGGAGAATGAGTCTCTTCTTCCTGAAGAAGTGGTGCTCACCCTGTCTGATCTGAGCAGGGAGCCCAACTGGCCACTTTCGTCACTATCAAAATCATCCTAAACCCAAATATTCTGCTTGTCTCAGAGGTCAAGAGGGAACATGCACCCATAACTCAAATAAACCAGAGGCAATCAGCCTTCCACTGACTTTTCCTTCTGTGAAGTACTGCTTAACTTTAACCAAGGTGAACTTCCACTCATGTCTGTAAGCTCGGCAGAGATGCTGTGCCAACAGCTCAGTACTGACACATCGATGGCTGCACATCGCTTCCCTGTTCATCATCCAGGAGCACAAGGCCAAGCTACTACGCTGAAGTGGCTGCAAGGTATGAGGACTGACAGATCTCATGAAGAAGGGAAGGAAACACTTTCCTGCCATCTCCAGTAACTGCACACTTGACACCCTGTGCAGTGAAACCAAGTCACTGGGAACCCTGTGCTTCGACAGCTCGTAAGTCCCGGGGCTTTCGGTACTTCCATGTGCAACTGGCCTCTCTCTTCTCCTTTTGTCAAGCCAGGTGCTCAGAAGAGCAACAGCTTTGCCATGGGATTTCAAAGCTGCAGAAGATGTGACGGTGCCAAGACGGGGGCAGGAACTAGCTACAACCAGCCCATCTGTGGTTTAGAAATGCTCTGAGCTGAGACATGGAAGCTTTAACAAACTAATTCCAGAGTCTCCCGTTTCACTCAGCGTGCAGCTTACAGACAATCTGTTCTAGGCCTGCATTTCACGGCAATGAGGTCAGCCCTTGGACCGATGAGCAAAATCCTCTGCAGCGGCTCACAACTCACCCAGGAAGTTTGGGAACGATTATGTAGATGTCCTTTCATGACTTGACATTTCAAAGAGAGTCTTGTTACAGCATTCTGACTCCTTGGAGGATCGTGATGAGTGACAGCAAATACAGAAGTGGTCAGCTCAAAGCAAAGAAGTCAGGAAGGAAGAGACCAAAGCCTCTGCAGGAGTCTGTGTTTGTTTTAACTGCTTTCCTCTAAAAATCCTGAGAGGCTCGTGCCCCAGGGGTGAGCAGTGCAACATGGCTCTTACTAAAAAGATCTCTAGGTTTCAAAAGAGTAGGAGTAAATAAAAAGGAGAAGGTGATTGTACACAATGCAGTGCTTCACCTTCACACTTCTCCAACCCATCCCCTACGGCGTCATCCCTCCAAACACTTCTGTTGCTATCTACAGCCTCAGCTGATGCACACAGGAGCCACTGGCCAAGTCCAGGTCATGTTTTTCTGCTGATCCATCTGTTTGCATTCATCCAGGCTGAATTTCTTTGAACAGGTTGGTACATACATTATAACCGATCTCAGCTGAGAGAACAAAGCAGTTCAGCTCATTAGCTGCTGCTGCTTCCTGCTCCCAAAGAGCTTCAGAGACTGATGCACACAAAAGGTACCCGGCAATCCTGGCGACGGCAAGGAGGGGAAGGCAAAAGAAAAGTAGTGATGGGGAAGAATGTACAACGTTATGTATACTCTATACCTCTGCTCTATGCTCTTATGGGTGCAGATGCTATCTCAGTGTCAGTGGTACTGTGTGCTCTTCTAGCAAGACCTTCCTTCTATTTTAAAAGCCATAAGAGAGAATATATAAGCATTACATTTCACAAACTGCCAATAAAAGAAAAAAAAGAAAAAAGTACCCACAACCAAATGCCAGGTGGGAAAGTGACACACTCTGCCAGCAAAGACAGAGAAGCACACTGTGTCAGTGCAGGAGTCAGTTAACCCTACTGCGGCGGGGTGGGAACTTCCCCAGAGAACGCTTCCAGCAAGGCAGCCCTCTGTCTGCAGAGTGCAGAGCGCTAAATGGAGAACGGTACACATTGCGTCAGTGTGCACAGGAACCCAACGCTGACTCAGAGCAGTCTGTCTTAAAAAAAAAAAATCTTCCTCCCCACGAAAAATCCCACAAACAAGATAAACGAGCAGCTTTTCATCAGCTCACAAATGCTCTTTTCTGACCAGAAGAATATGTGAAAAAGAGGCACCGCTGGCATCACGCTGCTCTGCTGTAGCGCAGCGCACAGGCTCTCCCTTCAAGAGGCATGGCTCTTGTGGACGCTCCCATTACAAACCTGCCTCTGCACGCTCAACAGACTTCCTTCTGAAACAGTCTCTGTCTGGCTCTGTTAAAAATACTTGTGGGACCCAGATCGATGGACTAGCCAGGAGATCACGCTGAGACACAGCCAGGTTAAGCACCAAGAAGGAAGGGAAGGGAGTGCAGGTCTGTCTGGGACACAGCGGGCTCAGAACAGACATCAGGCTGGAGCAGCAAGTAACTCACCAGTAGCACAGGGCTAAAGCTCTGGAAGCAAGAAACACTGCTGTCAGTAGGCATGAGTGAGTCTGCAGGACAGGCCATGAGTCTCTGCAGGTAGTGAATTACCAAACGCGATTTAGATATGATTAACTGACACTTTTTTCTGACTTGGGGACTGGAAGCAACATCTTAGAGCAAACAGTGTCTAATCAAGGCATTTAATGACTTTCTTCATAGCAAAAGACTTTTTAATTCTGATCAGAAAGCCTTAGCTATCAATCACGAGCAGCTCAAGCACATTTCAAAGAGAAACACAACGCACATCTAAAGGTGAAGGGATTGAACAACAAAATCTCACTTCTTTCTCCAACACATTTCAAGCTCATCCTTGCAGCAAGATCACTACCAGATTTCCTTTCAGAAGCTGGAACTCATGGCAATCTTAGCAGTTTGCAGTTGCTTACATAAGTTGCTTATATATTTCTCTCGATGCAAGACTGGAGGCAATTTCAATCCTGATAAGGCACTACACAGTTTCCACGCATCGCACCGAACTGGCACAGGCTAAGAAAGGGCTACAAATCCCTGACATTTCCTCATTTGCCAGTCGCCCTTCTTCCCTTTCCCTTGTAACACGTGCAGTCCGGTACACAGGCGGCACCTTCTAAGCAAGACGATGTCTGTGCCTGCTCGAGAACCAGGGTACTTGCATGGGGATAGGCAAGATGAGCCAAAAGGTCTCAGTCCCTGCCACTGCTCCAAAGATACCATGAGCACAACAAGGAAGTTGGCTCAGGGAGGAGATGATCCTCTGACACCTTAAAGCACTCATATGGAAAGCTAACAGTTTTCAGCCAGTCCCACGCTGCCGTATTTGTTCTCCCAACACACATGTGGCTGTGCAACAACAAACCCAATGCTGCTGGCAGCTCACTGCCTTTGCTTGTGATAACTCAGCTAATGAGGCGAGACCTCAGGCTCTCGCTTGAATTAACACTAACAGGTCCAGTTGGGCACCTATGGGCCACCTGCCAGTGTCTCTAACCAAGCACCCGACAGGAAACAGGTACTTACGATCTGCTTCTGTTTTAACGGTTTCACGGAAAAACTGCCATCAACATGCTAGTAGGGAAAAAAAAGGAAAAGCATTAGTTAGCTGAAGTGTACAAATCAAAACAGACCTATGAGCAGAGTTGGTGTCTGATAGTGGAGGGTGGTATAAAGTTTAACCAGGACATTCTACAGGGCAACCATTCCCTGCAGAGTCAGGGGAACAGGGTGTCCAGTCTGCTCCAGGGAAGAACTAGAAGGACTTGTCTCAAGTTAAACCTGGCTGAAGTGGGTCAGAGCACACACAAAAATCCCTTGGCACGTTGGATGCCTTCGGGTTGCAAACAGCCCAGCTGGGAGTAAACACTTCTTCAGCCAGTCTGGCAAGACTTGGTAGGGGCTACCTGTTAACACCCTAAATAACACCCAGTTTCAGAGCCACTCTTGGGGCCAGACTGCCATGAGGCTGAGAACAAGGCTTGTCCACTGGATGGAGTCAGACACACGCCACATGTGCTCCACAAGGCCACCTTTGGAGCCCTGGTGACCGCCTCAAGCATTTAATTTGCTCAGCGGCAGCAGGCACAGCTGGAACAATTCTGTATGTGCCTGGTGTCGGCACTAGTGATAGGAGCAGCATGCTCTTTCTTTTTTCTCCATCACCCACAAGGGCCAACTACACTGAATGAAACCAACTCTCCTGACACAGACCAGAGAGGAGGAAAGAAGAACTCGGGGGAAACTCCAGCAGGTCCTGCTGCTGTGAACAGCTGCAGATGTGCACCTGCTTGCTGAAGGAGCTTCAGAAGGAAGGGGCGACAACACCGCGCCAAAAGGCAAACCAGCCCAGAACTACCTACAGAGCCAGCGCTCAGAACAGCCTTTCTAACACAGGAAAGCTCATTCTCTTCACATAAAAAGTCCAACAAAAAAGTAACCCAGAACACTTCAGAGCATCTTCCAGCCACAGGGCGTCCTCAGGACTGACCATGTTTCCCGTGCCCTCTGATTCAGCTTGTCGCAATCCACACTATCCACAACTTGCTCAGGGATGGGGCAGGAAACGAGCAGATTGCGAAACAGAAGTCAGTCACATGCCAGCCTGGAACTCGGGAATCTGTAACAGCACAGCATTGACACTGCTCCCCTCCACACGCCCAGCTCTGCTCCAGCACCTCTTGCCTCAGTGTAGCGTGTCACTCGAAGCATCACTTGCCCAGGATACATGTCTGCAGTATTCCAACAGCCGGACACAACACGGTGCAGTTACAGGTCTTGCAACTGTTTCCAAGGTCCAGTTATCAGGGGAAGAGATTCTGTTATCAAGGCTTGTGCGTACAGATTGGCTTACCATGTAGGCAGCCATCAGCTACGTCAAATATGTCACCGAAAAGTAGTGGAGCTCAAAGTCTTTATGCAGGATGTATCCTAATTCTTTAAAAGAGCCTGGTCCTACACGTAAACTGAAGGCAAACAATGCTGCAACAGGGTCTGGACACAGCAGATCCGGTTCTGCAAAGAGATCGCGAGGCCCTGGAAAACTGCAGGGTAGAAGCCAAGGTCCCCACCTTCCCCCTCAAATCTCACAGCACTGAGGCACGCCCTCTCCTCACACACAGGAAACACCAGCTGGGTGACCAGCTCAGGTACAAACGATAATCACAGACTTAGTACAGGAATTATCTGTACTACGAGAGCACTCGGGAGCCCCAGGTGCAGGCCAGGACTCCATTGTGCTCAGCGTTATATAAATACAAACTAATGACCCATGGAAACATTTACATACACAAAGACAGGGACAGAAGGAAAAAAGAACTCATTTACCTTTTCAAATGCAGCCAGAAGAACATGGGCATGACCTGTCACCTCAACCACCACTGCAAAAAGAGAAAGACAGTCCTGGTTCAACCTTGAAAACTGCACACGCATAAAACTACAATGAGCTGAATTTTAATCCATTCAAAATTTCTAAACTGATGTCTGTTCTATTCTCATCTCCTCTTGCAATTTAAAACTTTCTTATGCTCTCATCAGGTTGGTTCATCTCATTCTTCTGAGTAAGAAGAGCAAGAACAAAACCCTGCTGGGCTCTGTGGTGGGCCCTACACAGACACACCTTCTTTATCATGGGTGCTTCAAACTATCTCACTTTGTTTTCAGAGTTTGAAAAAGGAAAGTAAAACAAAGCACCCAGTGGGATTCTGCCCTCATTTCCAATTCCTGCTTTTAATTACCTGAATTTATCACAGACATTAATAAATCCATCTGGTTTAGCAGCATTTGACGGCACTTGCAGCCCTGGTAGTTATCACTGTATTTCACACTAATCTGACAGACTTATAAAAACATGTACTTCTTCTACCAATTTTGGACACTGCAACATCTCTGTCCAGTTCTCTGATTCTTTCCCCAAATACAAACATCACGTCTTTCCTGTTCCAAACTCGAGGCTTCCCTTTTAATGCAATAGCACTGAAAAGGGGCTCTCAGAGGTTTCTGTACCGCGTTCACAGCTCACTCAGCAAATGCAGAACACAGAAGCCGAGGTACAATCCCAGTCTCTCTGGCTCAAGACTCTAAATCTCTGTTTAGCTCCAACTGGTTGGACCCTTTTGGTTAATTACATTCAGACTCATCATACGGAAATGGGAGACAAAGGCCATGGAGGAGTCACTGAGGGGAGGATGATCGAGGAGTCCCCGGGCTGTGCTTGGCACGTGCAGAAGAGCTGGCAGACATTGCTACCAGCTCCGTGCCAGAAAGTTACCAGCTGAAGGGAGCAACTCTGCTAAATGAGAGAGGAGCTCAACAGCTTCCTTTGGGCTTCTACAACAGCAGAGACAACAAGAAGAACCATTCACCAGGCTATGGCATAAAGATCATGTTCAGAAACAGCAGTATGTGTGAGAAGAAAAGGACTGAAACTGGGAATTCATCTACTCGCTGTCCCCACTGCCAGCCAAGAGCAAGGCTGTCCAAGGCCATCCTGTAAGTGAAATTAAATTCAGGTCCCTCCCTGTAGTTTGAATAACCACACAAGAGACAACAGGCATTGCTTCCCCTCATACCCTGCGTGGCATTCAAGCAGCACGTACAGCTGGAGCTGCGCGATCCGTTCTGTGCGGCACGTTCCCTGCCCAACAGGCTGCGGTACCTTTCCCCGAGAGCAGCCCCGCTGGCAGGAACGGGAGAGGCCCAACACTGCAAGCTCACACTCCTCCAGGCACACAAACATCTCCTGGGAGGATTCAGTCCAAACCCAACACCTCGCTGACTGCTATTTTAATTTGCCATTCAATTTTGTTTAACACAAGCGGTTACAGGCCAGCTGTAATTTTCCAGGTGCACTAAACACGCAAGGCCAGCTCCTTCCAGTCCCAACAGTTAAAAAAGAACCAAAATACACAACAACTTCCTCAAATCTCACTCAAGTGTCACATATTTTTGCGCTGATATTCTTTCCAGGAGAGGATTTAAAAGCAATTGCCTTTCTAGGTTATTAAAATAGATGACTGTACACTATTGGCTAAGACTGGGCATGATATCTGCATAAATGTATGCTTCCCATGCTGCCTCCTGTTCCATTTTTGGTCTTTCTAGGCCTGCCCAACATTAGAAAGTACAAATACCTTGCCAAAAGCTCCATACACAGAGGAAGGTGTTTCATATTCATGGCCAAGAAATACACTTATATGTCAATTTTACTAACAATGCCTGAAATAACTTGCAATATACGCACTTTAGAAGCAATTTCCTTTACGTTGCACTGTCTTTAGTTTGTCCCACTTTAAATTGGTTCACCCAATTCTATTTCGCTCTGCTTGGAGGACTGTAAAATAACGCAATGAGTTTCTGCGCGCTTTCACAACTACAACATAAGCAACTGAGCAAGTGACTGTGCTAAACGATGCAACACACTTTAAAAATCATCAGTGATATTATTTCTCATCCAAGGGTATATTCTTTTATTCTAACCGTTCAGCACCTTCGAGACAAAGCAAGAAAATTTAAACTGCTAAATGAAGCTGTATTTGGTTGAACGGTGGCCTGAGCATTTTAGAGTCATTTGTTTTTCTCCGAGCACTTCTAGGGGAAGTTCACTACACAGCTGTAGCTTTTATGAAGACGACTTCGCTCTCAAACAGTGGGAAACAACCAACTCCCTCCTTGCCTCATGAACTGTAAATGCAAAACCCAAAGAGAAAGGAAGTAATTTGCTCCAATTTGGGCCTGGCATTGGTGGAAGAGCCAGGAGTTCTCATGAACACTATTCCAACACTAAACACCTGGCGTTTTTGCTGTAAGAAATGGAGGCTATTTTTAAAAGCATGTTTTTATGTAAGAACCCGTGGTTAGCTGGGCGCTTTTAACACAGGGAAATTAAGGTGAACTCCTGAAATATTTTTTATTCTGGAAAGGCTCCTCAAGTCTTTGCTGCAAGTCAAACGTTTTTCATCGTTGCAGAAGGAGCCTTGCCCCGAAGGAGTCACATCACCTCAAAGAGAGGAGAAGACGAGCGAGGGAGCACCCGGCCCTGCTTACCGTCCCCTTCATCCACCACCGCTCGGATGACCACAGGGAACACGCCACGATCCAAGTCGAAGTTCAGCTGAGGGAAAGAAACGAGATGAGGTTAGACAATTCACACCAGGCTCGCCTGAAGGCAACGCTCGAAATAGCCTTAACACCGGCAGAACGAAGGGCCCTCCTGATGGGCTCCCAGTCCCTGGTCTCAAAAGGGCGCGACAGAGCAGGATTTAAAATTCAGGCACCAACTTTCAAACTGGAATAATTATGATGTATATACATTGATGTGGCACGGCGCAGCAGCCATGCCTAGCAAAGCAAAGGATCTCCATTTGAATTTGATGCGGTATTTAATCCTCGCTAATTCTAAATGTCTCCCAAGTGATTTGTGGTAGGATGAGTTTCTCAAAAAAGTCTGTTGCCACACGTTTGCTGGTGTACGGTAGGATACACTGGTTCTAACAGGGCGGTACATATTATGCACCCTACACCCCAAAAGAAACCTTGACTCTCGTATGAAGTTCTTGAAGACAGAGAAGAAAATCTGTAAAACTTCAAGCTCACATAACACTTTAAGGAAAGACAGGGCTAATTTCCATCTCCTGGCACGTTACTAAATTCAGGTCCTTGACCTTCTGATCAGTGGGAGTGAAAATTTAAGATCTCACTTGAGTACAAATTAAACAGATTCAATTTCTTCCTTTGTCCTGTACTTCATCAAAGCACTTCAAAAGCGCCATGATATCTTACAAATTCAAGAAAAATGCAACTTTACAAACACTGTCCTACGCCAGGAATGGAAGTGGCTCCGAGACAGGATTTCTGGTGGGTTTTGTTAATTACTGACTTGGGCTTTTTGTCTTATCTCTTGCCAAGAAGGAAAAACATGTCACTTCACCAAGGTGCTCCAGGTAGTCTGTTTTCAGTTTTCCAGTGACAACTGAGACCCAATTCGAAGCGCTGCAGCACGGCCCACTGTTTTGGGGCTTTCCTTATTTCCCTGCAGCCCCAACATTATTTACAGCATGATTTTCTCCATTCAGTCCCTCAAAAGATAAAACTATACAGGCTGCAGGCCTTTGGGGCCACTCAGCTTCTGCAGCACATTCTAGAAGCAGCCCTTAGCTGCTCAACATTGCTTTACAAACGCACACACATCTGTTCAAATACTCCCAGTTCCAAAGAGAAAGCAGGTGCTGAAAGATATTATGACCTCGCTAGTCTTCAGACCTGAGGAATATTGATTTTCATTCTCTGTATGGTGGTTTTACTTTTTTTTTTCTCCTTTAAACTACTCTTACCAAACCAGCAGAGTAACAGAGTGAACACAAAAAAATTTCATTTAACGTCTCAGTATTTGTTATAGAAGAGACTCATTGAGCCACTATTTCCCAGCTTGCATTTTTGAACCACTACGACGTGTCACAGAGGGAAAATTCTTCGAGGACAATCAATTAAAATTGCTGAAAGAAGCTCATGGTTTTGCTTTGCTTCCTGCTCTGATTTATTACCGTACAACAACAGTTACTATTTGTCCATTTGAAGGGAAAGTCACATCACAGAATTGCGGTTGCTTTACGAAACCAACTTCTGCGCTCTCAAACAAAAGGATTCTTTAAGGGTTCATTTCACATTCATTTTTAGGCACCTGAAACAACTGTCTCAGCACAAGCCACACGCTGTAAGTGGCAAGCAAACCAGTATATCACAGAGACAAAGTAAACTCTTAAAAAACTTTCCACATAACAAACCCCAAATAACATTATTTTCCTGGCTGTTGGCCAGCCAAGAACTACACGGTATGCGTATGGGCGAAAATATGAAGTAAGTCTGGGTTTTTTGGACAACACCAGTAACAAAGCTGGAAGGTAAATGTGAAGCATGTGATCGTACGCAGCTGAGCAATAACACTCTGCCAGCTGTCTCAGGTAAAAGTGCTGCATTTTGGTGGCCAGTTAAGAAGATTTAGCCATGTGTATTTAACTGGGTTTGAGAGGATAAAGGCTGACAGGTGGCCAAAACGGGAGAAGAAACTCTTCTGAATCACAATGCTTCTCCCACATTTTCTCTACAACCAGAGCTCAAACAAACAGCAATGAAAAAAGAGGAGACAGAGGATGCAGCAGAACCAAGCAGAGAGACCCTCAACTTTACTTTTCTGCAGCGTCTCTCCCTTTAGCTGTCAAAGAGACACGACTTTAGTACTTGAGTTAAAACCTTGCTGGCAGGAACAAAAGTAAAAATTAAGCCTCTTGATTCTTTACGAGGAAAGGGATCTGAGCTCCTACTTTCCAGCTCTCTCAGACAACAGAAGGGATTGAAAAGCAGCTCTTCCAGGCTTTTGTAGGCTGAACTTGTGAAATCACATATTGGCAGAGAAGACAAGACATCAGGAGACCAGACTCTGCAGGCTCCTGGTAACCACCATGGCATTTGTTAAGGCACGGGACTGATCATAGTTATAACTGTAACTCCAAGACAATAGCTATTCAATCTTTTCAAAATACATGAAAGACTACTTTTTTCCCCTTTTTTTTAAATTTTTCCCTTCTCTTTCCTTTGTTTTTAGGTAGTTATCTACCAAGGTTCACATATACAATAGTCTTATACAGGCTTGGGTCAGGAAATGAACTCTGTTATTAGTGTCCATGTCCTGGGAGAGGGGTCCACAAGAACAAATATATTAGCAGTAGCTACAGATTAACCCTTGTGCATCAGAAATCTCTTGGCGCAATTCTGCACAGAGCAGGAGGAAGGCCATGGCCTCCCCACCCTGTGTCATGTGAGAGACATGGGTCAAAAGCCAGAGTCTTAGGAAGCAGAGAGTCACCGTCTGGGTTGGAACTTGCAGATACCAAAATTAACCGGACTCCACAGATCTTGCTGTATAGTAAAAGCCACAGAGCTTAATTAAAACCAAGCCTTTGTGTGTATGCTGCTAGGAGAAAGAAGCCGCTGTGTTGTCCAGCATTAACACACCAGTGTGAAATCTGCCCCAGAAGGGAGAGCATCCCCCCAGAACAGTGTACAGCTACAGTTAATAATGCAGGATGTGTCCCTTAAACAGAAGAGGACTCTTCAAGAGCAGTGGTCTCTAATGGTTTTGACTATTCATCTCATCAGTAAAAAATACTCCCAATACATGTATATTTATTATTTGTAAGATACATACATGCGAAGTTCTTCCTGCACCCCACTGAACTGCCTTGCATGCATCCTACTTCGGAGACCACTGTTCTAGAGGATCAGCCAAAAAGGATGCAAGACCAAAACAGAGAGACCAAGACAGACATTTGTTCCCACAAGCTCTTTGGCTGGCAGGGAGAGGAAGGTTGAGGAGTGGGGGGTTCCTCCGGGAAGACCTCCAGTGCCAGTCTTCCTCCTGCACTAGATGCTGGGATGCAGCTGATCAGCGATACTGCTTCTTTGGGTTTCTTCCCTGTTTGCCTGACCTACCTGCCAAATTCCCAATGCTCATACCCACTGCTCCTGGGGTCCCATTTGTCTTACACCCACATGCCATGGCAGCTGGGAGAGGCTGCCTTTCTGACAGAACTTCAGTCCAGTGCTTCTGGCACAACACGGTTGTGGAAAGAAGAGGACACTGAAAAGAGACTTACCTCGTCATCCTTCCAGTCTGAGAAATCAATCTTGAAGGAAGGCAAGGAGAATTGCTGGCTTACCCCTCTCTTGTAATGAACCGTTTCCGATTGCAGAGAGGGATTCTTTGTGCTGTATCTGAAGAAAGGGGGGGAAAAGAAAACTTGCTGTAACAAATGATCGCTCTCCACTAGGCTCTCACTCATTCACGCCTGTCCATCTTTCAGGAATCACAAGTGGCAGCTCTAAGAGGCAGAGCTGGCAGGGGCTGGCAGCCATTCAGTGGGGATACAAAAAGGGAAGGGAGAGGTCAAAGCGAGAAGGTGAGCACAGGGAAGGGAAAGCAGCGCAGACAGGCAAGGTCTGATTGGATCCATACTGACCTGCCTGGAAACACTGGGTGCCCGAGGAGGCCAGCGGGGCTCGGCAGCCTGGCAAAGGCTAGCTCACTAAATCCAGGGCCTAGGAAACGCTGGCTTTCAGCCCAGCACACAGTCTTACTTTCTGCAGAAAACTCAGGAAGAGCGAGCAACGATCTAACAGTGGCAACACACAATCCAACACGGCACTGAAAGCCTTCCCGTTCCCTCCGCAGGATGGCTCTGCGGTGATAAACGTTGCTTGGCTTGCCATCAGCCTGACAAGAGCCGTTCCAATTCACTCCTCTCTTCCTCCTGTGCTTCCCCAGAGCCCCTGCGGGGCTGCCAAGACCACCGAGGGAAGCGTCACAATTCTTCCACTGTCTCGAGGCCTGGCACTGAAATGCCAGCACTACCAGGCTGGGATCAGCATCTCTGGGACGGGACCACAGCTACCATCTACTGTCTTCTCCACCCAGCACTCTGTCCCAACATAGACGTGTCACTGCGGGCTTCAGCGACAAAACAGGATCAAGAAGTTTTCATCCCTTTCTGGAGGGTGATTTCTGAGCTGGATGTGCACAGCCTCTCTCTACATCAATCCTGGCATAGGAGAGAAGGCCGCAAAGTGCAAAGCAGGGTGGGAACAGCTGAAGGTGGCTTTGCCACCAAAGTCTCTGTTGTCGAGACACCAGTCGTGTGTTCAGAGCACGTTGACAAACCAGAGAGAAAGTGAAAGATCCCTTGCCCAAGAGGCTTACACCACAGAAACAACCACCTCCGCCGGCACAGTGACAAGACAGGTCTCGCTCCAGCTCTACAAGAAAGGATTTAACAGCCAGTCACAGAAATTGGATGTTATCTCTTCTGCACACTAACCATCTTCCTAAGTTGAGCTTCACACAGTGAGACTGCGAGCGTGCTGGCTTCCAGCCACCGCACACTGAACAGCTACAAGCTTGGAGCCTTGTTAACTGTTCAGACTTGATTTTCACTGTTCTTGATTGACCGGACAGCCTGGGGACAGGCGCAAGGGACAGGTGTCACATTAGCACCAGGAACTCCAGGTTGAGTTTTTCCCTAATTCAACTTGGGGTATTCCACAGGATCCCTTGACAACCAGCTCCTCAGATTTTGCCTATTTGATTTCTCAAAGAGTTAGAAACAGTACTACTGCCAGCCCTGCGAAGGAGACAGCACCAGAGGATATCAAGGAATTTGATGTGGCTGATTCAGTACAGAGCCCTGTCAGGCACATCTGGACATCCTATACTTGGTGGAGGAGCACAGCACCCCAGAAGGGGATGGCAATACTAAGTTTTTCTACACCTGAGCTAATGTCTCCTGGTTTCCGTAAGTGAGGAGCAAGAGGGCTGGGCAGCTCACTTCCAGAGAGGGTGACGCAAAAACTGTGGGAAAAGGCCAGAGGGAGAGTCAACCAAGAACTGGAGAACTGAGCATCGCACCAGAGAAGTGAAGACTTGGCCAGAGGACAGCAGAGGCGATTAGTTAGGACATGCCTGAACCTTAACACTCAACTGTGAAAACTTTACATTCGAGATCTGCTGCCAGAGTGCAAGAGCCCTCAGAGAAACCAGGTGGCCCTCAGGGCTCAGGCCAGCCAGCACTGTAACACAGTCTTAAAGCACAATGATTACAATGCATTTTGCAGCTGAAGGTATAAGAACCTGGACATCAGAAGATAATGAATATTCATTCATTCCTCTCAAACCCTAAGAGCAAAAAACTAGACTCCCCATCAGCAAGAACTGCTGCCCTTCTCTGGAAAGCTAGCGTAGTTCCTGCACCCTCTGAGGATCCAGAAGGCTTATCAAGTGTCACAAGAGCCACACTAAATTCTTGAAGGCCATAATAAGGGCCAGGATCACCATGTCTACTCTGCTCTTCCTGCCAAGGCAGGTGCATTACATTATTTATGACAATACCTTACCCTCAAAGACCACTCTACTGCGCTGAAATTGTGCTGCTTTACTAGAAGGTCTCGCTCCATCCTCTGCATTTAAAGCACAGTGTGGGAGAGATCAGAATGACAGGTCTTTTATGTGTGAATTACAGAGCGAGCAGTTGAGTGAAGTTTTATTTACTGAGTTGTCAAGCACAATGAAAAGAGCAAGCCTGTATCTAGCTCCTTTTGTGGCGCACTCCAAGCTTCCCAGCGTGACGGAGAGGCACAATTCCCCTCTACAGCTGGGAAAGGAGGGGATGGAAGAGTGACTTACCTAAGGTGATGGCAGTCAGGAACCTACTAGAAAGAAAGTGAAGAGGAGAGAGTGGAGGTCAGAGACTGCCTGGATGGCATGCTCCACAGCAGCACTGGGAAAGGGGTGTAAATGTGCTGCTGCTGAGTGCCAGGAAGGCTGGAGGACCCGCACTTACAGCATCAGAAGCCCAAACCAGTCTACAACAGGAGAACAAGTAATGCTGTTCCAAGTGGGGTAGCGTAGAATGATATTTGCATTTACTTGCTGCTCTCATCGCCCCTGAGAAAAGAAACAGACCAGGTCCATAGATTTTCTGAGCTGAAGAGCATAACAGAAATACCGAGGAGGTCTCCCCAAGTGGGCTTTATGCCTCAGACTGTGTGACTGCCTAGCCCCCATTGCCAAAATGCATGTCAGACTTGGATCTGAACACTCAGACGACGCTGGAGACCTCCAGTCAGCAGCCAGGGCTGAGGCTGCTGAGCACCAGCGGGCCAAGAGCCTGGCGAATTCCCTGGAAGCGCTGGTGACCACAGACTGTCACAGAGATCCATCATCTCTCTAAGGTGATGCACAGGATCCCCTGCCCAACTACACACTCCTTGTGCTGCAGCGGAGGACTACCTGGGAAGCTGTTGCAATGCAAGTATCCTGCATATCAGTGTCTAAGCAGTCTCTACACAGCCTCAGACCTTTTTGTTGGCATCTGCTGTATTCATAAATCTTCCATTCCCTGCCTGTGCTGCTGTGGATTCATGGCAAACAAGAGTAGAGAAGCTCTGCAGAGCTCTGTTACAGAAAAAGAGCATGTGGATTAAGAATAAAGAGTAGCAGAGAAGCAACACGCTGCCTCTACCTGCATAAAGGCTGAAATCTGAATGTTTGGGCAGCTATTTCTCAGACTGCACCAGGCCAGGTCTCCATCCAGGTCCAGCAAATCCACCTCATGATCACCAGCATCTCAGGACAATGGAGAAGTAGAATATGTCCTATGAGGTCAGGGCTAAGCAGAAATACCCGGTCACATTTTTCTAAACCCATTTGTTTGCTCAGGTACCCCTGAGAGCATGAGAATCACCAGCAAAGCAAGGTACCACACCACTGACTCTCCCTGCATGCAGTCCAGATTTGTTACCAGGCACGTGTAGACCTTAGGTAGCTCCCAAGCCACCAGCAGCATGTTAACTCAGGCTACGTAGAGTTAAACTTCTGTTGCTACATGCTCACTGGAGACTCAACACGAATGTGTGTGGGTGTTTCTCTCTCTCACTCATCCCTGATCAGCACCTGGGGATGTTCTTAGAAGGGTGCCAGTCCCAACTCATGCAAACTTTTTCACTGCTGTGTTCCTCGTGCTCAGCTCCACCTGGCACCAGGGCTGCCTCGGTTGGTCAAAAAACGGTCTCTGTTACCGCAAGCATGCTGGGATCCTGACCAAGATGCACCACTTGAGGATCCGAGCCAGGTTGCTCAGAGATAGGCAGAGCACTGTCCAGACCTCATTGCTCAGAGGAAAGCGGGATGCACAGAGCCATGCTGTACCAAGGTCTTGGTTTTGATGGCAGAGAGATGGTCTGGCTTTGAAGAGCCTATGGACAAAATAAGAGTCCTTTTCCTTTAGTAACAGCTCCGCATGTTGCACGGCAATTCGCAGTGAAGTGAGGACAAGACAGAGAATGCAGTTACTGGAGAGCTAAAGCTGTAAAGCGAGGATACTCAGCAACCGATTCTTCCATTGCTTCGGACTGTGACTGCCTGGCAAGCTCCACGTCCTCTTACAGGTCATGAGGAGGGAACCAGTCATGTTCTGGTGTTCAGCGGGGCCAGGAGTTGATGTGAAGCAAGCATGCTGGCCTGCCTGTCTCTCTCACCTGCACGCTCCCCTTTCATTTTGGGCCAGGATCTCACATGTCAGCTTTCACGGAAGTGGAAGGTTGAACAAGTGTCTCAACTCAAAGTGATTTTTATTTATAAAAGAAACACTACAAAAATATAAGAAGGCTGTAGCCCTGGGTCTCAGAGTTAGGCAAGATCCAGCCCAGAGGAGCTGCCACAGAGAGTCTGGAGGTTAGCTGGGTGCTAAGCTGGCGCACAGCAGTCCCTGCCACTCTTCTCTTCTCCTGCTTCCTCCCAGGACTGGGTTTCCAGTCCAGGACAGAGGGAAGCAAACATCTGACCAGGCAGCTGAAACCCTGCCACCTATATCCCGCTCCAGCACCTGCAGAGATCTGCCTTCAGCTGCTGAACTTACTGGTGAGAGCACGGCACTCACCACTCCAACCAGGCGGCAGAGTTGGGGGCTTACACAACAGCTACACAGAGAGGCATGAAGGCCAGAACTCTTATTAAAGACAGAAGGTTTGTCTGCTTGCTGAAATCTATAGAATTCAGCTCTCCAGCCTGTGAACTTGGCACGCTACAGCATTCCCTTGGGGACTGGTGTCTGCCTGGATCAAAGCAGGCTTCAGCTATAAAGGCTTGTGTCGATCAAAAACAGCCCTTGCCTCTGATTTCTTCACACAGAAGAAATCTCTCTGCACAAAGAATTCATATTAAT